GTTATCCTAAATGAGGACGCACAAAAAACCTATTCTAGGTCTAAAATATTCTAAGTCCCAATAAAAAAAAAATTTTTAATATTCTAAGTCCCAACACAGAAAAAATTAAAATATTCTAAGTTCCAACTAAAAATAATTAAGGTATTCTAAGTTCTAACTGGAAATAAGTAAAATATTCTAAGTTCTAATTGGAAAGAAGTAAAATGTTTTAAGTTCTAACTGGAAATAATTAAAATATTCTAAGGTGTAACTAGAAATAATTAAAATATTTTAACTTCTAACCTAAAAAAAATTAAAATATTCTAAGACCTACCTGAAAAGAAGTATTCTGAACTGACTTTTTTGCGGAACGAAGTAAACTGGTTGAATCTCGGAGACAGACTGTGTGTACGGACCAGTCGCTTCGGCCGTTTATATAGCGTCCCAAATACGCTTACGTTGCATGGTCCCACGAGTCCAACGGTCACTGGCTCCTGATCAACGGTCCCGCGGCCGCCAATGGTCCGCGGTCTTACGCGTGCCTTATCTCGGCGCGTGCCTTATCTCTATTTCGGGCTGTTTGTCTGGCCGAGCCAGTAACCCTGACCTCTCACAAGCAAACTTTGCCGTGGGAACACTTCGCGCACAAATACTACAGAATATTTTACAATGTTTTGCCTAAATTAACTAAATATTAATTGAAAAGTTAACTGTACATTTGAGATTTACTACTGAACTAGTTTACAAAACGCTAAGAATGCTAATTGTTTAACTATTATACAGGACAATAGATGCGGTTACAATAATAAAGCAAAATAATAATATCAAGTATTTACGCAGAAGTAACGTAATTAAGTAAGTAGTTATAGAAACTATTATAATAATGTAGATTTAATTAATAAAAACATAAGGTAATAATAATTAATTTATAATATAATTAATAATACTAATAGCAGTGACCATCACTGGGGAGTTGAAAAGTTCGCGAAAAGTCCCGGAATTTGTCAAGATAATTTTTGACAAAAATAAACACTTTGTTTATTAACACATGTTGTGTTTACCGACACATAGTTGATATTGTAAATTTAGGATATCTTGAGAACTAAGACAGCTAAGGTAAAACTAATATTACAGAGGCCCATACGGCAATCGGTAGAAATAAACAATTTAAATATTTTGCGAATCGTAAAAGTTACCAAAAAACAAGATTTTAATCCTCCGTTCTATTACTTAGATGCAAAATACCACGTAATAAGTAATTGATAATTTTAAGTATTTAAACTATTGTTTGTTAACAGGAATAGTTAGACGTTTTGAAACACACTGGTATTTTGCAGTTTTTTACGTTGAAGACGATGGTGCAAACCGTTTTTTTGTATCTCTTTTAGTTTCTGAAATACTAATTTTGCAACTTACGGGTTGCCGTCTGGTTCTGATTTGAAATTACTTAACTTATGACTAACGGTAACAGACATATAATGATATCTCGTGCAGGTTGATGAATCATTCGCAAACTTGGTTTTTGGCAATTGTTAATTTACCGACCGTGGCAAATGTTTAATTATGCTAAAATGATGGTACTGGTAACAGTACCGACTCTAGTACTTGAAAGGAACGGTAGTTATTAGTAGAATTGGTTACCGGCAGGAGTTATCTTTTACCTTTGTTTTACGGCTTACTATATTTTACTGTACACTCATCTACCTTAAACTTCTAGTTTATAGTCAGCACGTAAGGTAGTGTTTTAAAGGAATTTTTCTCTTACCAATCAAATCGTTTTTGTCGTTTTTGAACGAATTCCCGAAAAGATTTCAAGAAGAGACTTACAGGATGGTACTCGCCATGGTAGAATCCAGAGAATTCGAAAATGCAACACAATTATTGACCAATCAAAACGCGTTTTACTGAACTGGTTAACCTATGAAATTTCTTTTACCTTTTTCAATGGTTTAAAACATGAATTTCAAAAGCTGGCTTAGGCCTGGTTTATGCGGGCAATAACTGTTAACTTATGCCGGAACCGGTAGAGTTTAACTATAGGATTTCAATGCTTCTGTTTATACGCATCCGGCAATTTCGTATGAACAGAAGCATTAAAATCCTTTAGTTAAACATTACCAGTTCCGGCATAGGTTAACAGTTATTGCCCGCATAAACCAAGCCTTACTTGGCTTAGTTGCTACGTGCTTTGTCAATTAGTACGGCAAGTTTTGCACTTCAGCCAATCAAGTTGTTTGTCGTTAGGCAATCAGCCAATCAGAAGTTTTTACTGAATTTGACCGGCTTCCTGGACGAAAAATAAAATGTGTTACAGCAGTAACTAAACATCTAAATAATTAATTCAAATATCATAAAAAACGATATTAAATTGCTGTTTAAAAATAAAATAATAAGTAATACTTTATAAACAAATTAAGATATTTAGTATGGTTTAAAACTAGTAATAAATTTCTACGGTGTTAAAAATCGATTGCTGGATGTGTTTTGCAAATATATATAACATTTTTAAGCTAAATTGGTATATTATTAACTATAAAAAAATTATAACATAAAAAAAAAATTTTTAACATAAAAAATAAATATTTACTCCAGAATAAAATCTTTTTCAGTCTTTTATTAAAATGTTTTAAAAATATTACTAGCAGAATACAATCATAAAGACAAGTATGATTAAAAAAAGATTAATACAGAACATTAATTTCAAAAAATTATAGTGACTACCATTGCTCGTCTTGAGAATGTAAAAATAACAATCCTGATAATGGGAGCTTTCCATCAAGGCATTTAGGCGACACACATCGACACAGTGTCGGACACGGTGCTTTCCAACAACACGCCACGACTCGGTAAGACACAGCAGAAGAGCATAGTCGAACACAGAATCTGGTTCATGGTTGCCAATTTTGGATGGCGCTTTGGGGCATTTTCATTTTGTACATGTGGTATTATATAACAACAGCGAATTTTTATATTTGCATTTATGTACAGATTTGTATTGTTCAGCAATTCTTTCTTTTAAAGTTTTGCGAGAAGTACAAAAGTTATCTGGACCATTTACGTATATTCTACATATAAAATTATTACTTATACATATATATTT